GAGCAGGGAGCCCGATGCGGGACTCGATCCAGGGACTCCAGGATCATGACCTGAGCCGAAGGCAGTCGCTTAACCAACTGAGCCACCCAGGCACCCGAAGTTTTATCTCTTTTAGACCTTATAAGGATATTTTAAAAACAAACAGCTTTAGCCTCAAAGACAGTAAGATTTTAAAATGAGGGAGTTTTTATAACCAAAATAATAGTGAATTTGACTTAATAGTCTACCTTGTGAATGAAACCTGCAATGTCTTCATTCTGAATAATAATCAATAGTTTATCTAATTTTGATCTTCTTTCCAAAAACTGTTCTGGATGACATTCTGTATTGCCTAATTTGATAAGATATTCCTGTTAAAGAGAAAAACTAAATCAACATTAAAAGGCCTTTTTTGCAAATATCCACCTAACACCAGAAATGCAATATAAACTGGTAAGTAGTCACTCAGTAATGATCACTAATAATGATGACCTTACACTATGGACCTTAGAGATCATCAGGTCCACTCTTCTTATAGAAGAATCTATAGCTCGGAGCTTAAATGGCCATGGTCACAATGTCACAATGCTATGCAATCAAAGCGAAGTAAAAGTCAGTGGTGGGTAACAAAAAGAACCATAAGAACAATGAATTAGCCCAGGTTCTTAACCCAGTTCCATTATTTATTCTGGGCAACCCAGAGCCCAATCATTAACGACTCCCTCATCTCATTTTCCTCTCCTTTCAAGGGAAGCCTTTGGTTATTTGCAGCCAGGTTACTGGTATAGTACTCATTCCCTTACAAAGCACTTTTCTGACTACTGGACTCATTTAATTCACAACAATTCCAAAGTCATTCATACAGAGCTTCAGTATGGACCATGGCATTCACATACTATTTAGCCATGTCTGTCCAGTTCACACCTCTCAAATAAAATAGACCCTCCCATCTAATACCTCCCTCCATGTTGGTGACATGGTACTATCAAAGGACACATGGTGATAGTGCAGGCAGTTTCCGTTGCTCTTTGCTTGCTGGTGGAATCCTGAAGTCTGAGGTAAAATGCAGGTTCCTAGAGGTCATATTCCTCATTTCACAGATATAGGAGATTAATTTTCTCAAGGTTGGCAAGGCTGGTTAGACAGCCATTAAATCTAAACCCAGCTTCCCTCACAACCAGTCTGCTGCTCTATCGAGAACAGTCAACAAGCATCACCCCAAAGGGGATGTTTCTGTGTAGTCCTGAACTAAAGCAGCATCTTCTATATTATTAGATTTTGCTCTAACCTCTAAAGCTTCAGGGCAGATCTCAGAACAGCTACAGACAGGTAATGAGAAGATAAATTATAGGCTAGCTTGTAATTTTTGGTCTTTTTAAAAACATTAAGAAGCTTTAACTGCAAATTCATTTTAAGACCCCTGAACTCTTATAATAATAAATCCACTGGACTCCAGAATTATTCAGGAAGCTTAAAATGTTTTTGATAGTATTTTTATTCTATTTTAACATTTTTGCTGGATAAATTTTCCAATGGAGGTTGATTAAAAACTAAAGTTCTGATCTGACCTCCTATCAGATTTGAAAAACACACAGCATCCTTCTCTTCTTCTACATGAGTAATAAAAATAGGATTTATTCTATGCTAGAATGAATTAAATGCACCAGAAGTCAATACATTTTCTGTGAGTGTGATACAATTAGTTTACAAAATGTGGTGGGGAAGGTGCGATAAATGCTGAGCACACTGTGGAACTCTATCCACTCTATTCTCTCATCGAGACAGGCAGCTATTGCCCCCACAAGTACTGTGCTTGAACCTGTTGCTGGGAGTGGAAAAAGTTAAGAAGCTCTACATTCAATGATACAGGGCAAAAATGCAACCAAGAAACTCCTACTAAGTCTGGTTTCATCTTCCCAAGAAATCACAGGGATTTAGTAGTAGAAAAGGCACACTGAGCACTCTTCCTCCTCCATTTCCATGTTCTTCATGTTCTCATGGGCATGCTACATGAAACATGCTGGCATCAGAGAGATTCCCAAACTGACAAAAGCTCAGAACATCTCAGCAGCAGAGTTTCTGGGCCACTCTTGCCTACAAGGCACTTATTTATAGTACCTTCTGCTTCCTCTAACAAAACAAGCAGAAATCCGTCATGGTAAGTTAATTCCATAATGGGAGCAGGCATTTATTTTAAAACCTATGCCATTCCCTGAAGGAATTAAAATCCTAGAGTTTAGTAAATACTAATTGTTGTTATTAAAACACTGATACAACTGTTCTTGTATGTCATAATTTACCTATTGTTACAAATTTTATAGATCTATGTCTGTATCTACACACACACACATACATGCATGTATTTTTAAAAATCAAATACTTGAAACACTAGTCTTACTCTGTAGCTTCAGTAGAAAAAAAATATACCTTGCAGTGAGGAATCTTTCATGATTGGGGAGTCTTTCAGCATCATGTTTTTTGATCAAAAAGGCTGTAGGGAACCCTGACATGACCAGGGTATCAAGAAATGCCAAAAGATTATATATATCATTAGGTCATCCCTGGACAGTTTTTTTTTATTTGACTGATAAAAAACCCCGTAAGAAGTAAACACTGACAGCTTCTTCTACCTCTGTATCTTTCCCATTAAAAACCCAAGTAAGAAACATTTAAAATCTTTGAAATCAACAGTTTAAAGGTATTTGCAGTGTACATACAAATGGTCTTTAAAATCACTGATAAAACAAGATTCTAAATTCTAAGATACTTAGATCAGAGGTTCTACATTTAATTGAACTTACTAGTCTTATTCCACTCCGTATCAAATTATGAAAACATATGGTCAACATTTAAAAACAAAAAAACCCTCCATTTAATAGAGATCAGACCCAACAAGACAAGTTCATATAGCATTACTATTATTAATACCTTCTCATTTAGTTACCTTTATTTCTTTACAGAGCACACTCTCTTCTTCTTCATGAATATAAAATTTCACAGTATTTTTCTGGACATCTTTCATGATTTTAACCAAACTGTTAAATACTTCAGGTTCTAACTGGCTTATAAAATTTGAAAGAGCTGGTTGGGCAGAAATGTTTACATCACTGGGCGATTTTGTTGTTTCTTTTTCTACCGGTTCCCGGGCAGTATCACCAGGTACAGTATGATCAGAAGTCACCATCAGCTCTGTAGCATGGTGTGGCTGGTTCACTTCTACTTCGGTTAAACCCAAAGTTGAAGAGGAATGCTGCTCACTGGAGTTGCTGTCTTTCAAAGTATCACTACAAAGTGGCTCAAGGAGCTGTTTACTGTTGAAGTCACTTGAGGAAACTGGTAGGACAGCCTTTCCCAGAGGATTCAATGCTATCTTACTACCAGAATCATTAGGACTGACTCGTGGCAAATTCCCACCCTTGGCCGATGCTTTGATAATAATAGTATTTAGTTTCTCATGCAAGCCATCTACAAACTCCTGTACACCAGCTTTGGAAGTCTTAGAATATATGAACTCAGAAAGCCGTTTCATCTTCTCTTGTGTTGAAAAAACAGGTGTGGAAATTCTACTGACATATGAAACATTCTTTTGCTTCAGAATCTCTTCTATCTTCCTAGAAAAGAGATTGTACTCTCCTAACACTGTCCTCTCTGTGGTCTCACTCATTGTGGGCGGCTCTGCTGCTGGCACACACTGCTCCTCCACTGTCACCACCTGACCTGTCACCACGTCATCCTCAGTGGTGCCCTTCAGTGTGTCTGTAAATGGAGAGGATTGAAACTGGTAATCAGAACCTCGCTGTCTACTTATTACCCGGGGGTCGTTAGGAAAGGCCTCCTGTGGTGGCAGACACACCAGTTGTTCTTCTGGTGATTTCATACCTATATAGGAAGAGTTCATTATTATAAGAGCAATCCAAAAAAATAACATCTGAAAACACAAACTCGTAAATAGGAATGTCAGATCAAAGTATATATTCAGAACTAATTACGCACTGGAAAGTAGAATAAAAATCTCAAATGATGGTATGAACCCCCATTTTCTATGTAGCCTACTTATGGCTGGTCTTGGGATTTCAGTAGCTAGAGTAACAAGTTTGGATGTTATTTTCTTTGATTCCTTTTGAAGTGTTCGAACATGTGCCAATTTGGCATCCATATAAATTAAGTTTGCTTATTTCTGCTTCCCAGATAGATCTACCGGGGGAAAAAAAGGTTCAATAATATGGAAGAGAACATATTTCATATCTGCATTAACAGTAACACTCTTGAGATGAAGAGGTCATTCAGCTACCTGATGTTAATGGAACCAAACTGACTTTTGACAATAAGCTCAATCCACAGATTGTACTTTTTTCCCAGAAATTCTAAATTTAAACACAATGTTTTTAAAACTACATTTCAAAACAGATACCCTAAGTCCCTTTTTAAAAGACAAGGGGAAAATATGTTTAACGGCAATTTATAGTACTATTTTAGGAAAAGAAAAAAAATTCGTGCTCTTTGCCTAGATGATTATTATACAATTTTATTTTAATTAATTTTCCTTAGATCTTAGCCAATATTTCCTAACAAATTGCTGTTGTAGTCTATGAAATGGTACCTCTATATCAGGAAGTTGCAGGTACAAGTATAGTTTTCAACACTATAGTACTTTAAAGATAGTGAATTCCCTGTTCAAGTTTGCAGTCAGGTGTAGCAACATACCCTCTCCACACAAATTCAGTTTTGGTTTTCCTCACACACTTTTCTAAAGCTCTTAACAGCCTCAGCAGCAGTCAGCTTGTGACATTTCTCCACCAACCCTGGTAGTTACCATGAACCACTCTACCCATTAACTACTACAAAGGCACCTGCTGGCAAGTAAGAAGACCACAACAGGTCTGTAGGTGGAAGAAGAGTAGGGGAGCAAAATATCCAATGTACCAAGGTAAGAATTAAAACTGTATGAAACTGATAAACCAGAAATTCAAGTTCCATAAAATAACTGCAGAATACAGAACATCCTTCTTAAATCTGCAACATGGAGTTTAGTGCACACATAAAATGTCTGGAAGGATACATAAGAAATTTGTAACAGAGGCTGATCCATGCAATGAAACTAAATGTCTGAGATAGGGCTGCAAGACTTTTTGAAGTATTTTAGATTTTGAAATATTTTTGTACTTCTTACGTACCATATCAAATGTCTAATTTATTTAAATAAAAACATTTTAAATTATACCTTGTAAAACAAACGGGTTGGGAAATACCACCTATAATTTTTAAACTTCCAATTATGTATTATTTCAAATGAAATACCTGCTCCCAAGATGTATAGCTGTAGTTCAGACCAATAAGTTTACACCTGAAGGGCTATGGATAAAGCTGAATGAAGCTTAAATCCATGTAGGGAATTTTCCATGTTAAAAAAGTCTAAACAAATCCCTTTTAAAAATGCAAATTACCATCACCTAATTCTACTGTCACAAATTTCCCCTATAAGATTCTAATCACTAAAATTGACAACTTTATTTAAAAAAATGTCTTCATCGGTAAATGATTTAAAGGAAACACGTCAATATCAATAATGCATGTTTTCTACTGATTGTCATTCAAGCACTGCAGTACTTTGACTTTGAAAGGGGAATAGTGAGTTCTCTAAAGGCAGCATCATTCACGTATTTCCATTTTCAATCACAAAATATAAAGAGGGTATGACAAATAAGAGAGGACTGCAGATGCCAATGGCACATGCTGAAGCATAAACAAGATACCTGGCTGCTGTTTTTTTTTTTTTTTTTAAGATTTTATTTATTTATTTGACAGAGAGAGAGAGAGATAGCGAGAGCAGGAACACAAGCAGGGGAAGTGGGAGAGGGAGAAGCAGGCTTCCCATGGAGCAGGGAGCCCGATGCGGGGCTCGATCCCAGGACCCTGGGATCATG